GTTTTAATATTTCTAAATAAATTAGGGTATGTCTACACTACAAAGTTAATTCGAACTAACAGCCGTTAGTTTGAATTAACTTTCATAGGTGCTACACATACAAACCGCTAGTCCGAACTTAATTTGAACTAGCGGAACGCTTAATTCGAACTAGGTAAACCTCATTCTATGAGGACTAATGCCTAGTTCGAATTAAATAGTTTGAATTAAGGGCTGTGTAGCCACTTAATTCGAACTAGTTGCAGGCTAGCCCTTCCCAGATTGCCCTGGTGGCCACTCTGGGCCAAGCCAGGGAAACTCTTCTGCCCCACTCCCGGCCCCGGAGCCCTTAAAGGGCCACGGTCTGGCTACGGTGCCCGTGCCAGGTGCAAGCCTGCCAGCACCCAGCCAGCAGACCCTGCACCTGGCACGGCATGAGCCAGCCACCTGCTGCCACCCAGCCCTCTGCCTCTTCCCAGGAGCAGGCTGATGGCTCCCAGGAGCCTGCCCAGGGCTGCAAGCAGCAGGCGCCCACCTAGTCTAGTGCGGAGATTGTGGACTTCACCCAGGTTTGGAAGGGAGGCCTTCAATGTCCACAATCTCCACACTAGGCACAGGAAAGTGGCCGTCTAGGGCAGGATAGCTGCCAGCCTGGCCACCAAAGGCCACATGCAAACCCAGGAGCAGGTTTGCATGAAAATCAAGTTGGTCCAGTGAGACCCCCGACCCTTAGCCCTGAGCTTAGAACATAAGCACATAAGAATGGAAGTGCTGGGTCAGACCAAAGGTCCATCTAGCCCAGTAGCCTGTCTTCCGACAACGGCAAGCACCAGGAACCCCAGAGGGGATGGACTGAAGACAATGACCAAGCAATTTGTCTCGTGCCATCCATCTCCAGCCTTCCACAAACAGAGGCCAGGGACACCGTTCCTACCTCCTGGCTAATAGAACTTCATGGACCCAACCTCCATGAATTTACCTAACTTCTCTTTAAACGCTGTTCTAGTTCTAGCCTTCACAGCCTCCTGCGGCAAAAAGTTCCACAGGTTGACTATTTGCTTTGTGAAGAAGAACTTTCGCTTATTAGTTTGAAGCCTGCCACCCATTCATTTCATTTG